AAAAGCAGATAAATTGACCCACTTCACATGCAGTCGGTGCTATTGTAGCTGCACAAAGAGCTTCCTCTGGGCTTTTACACTGTTGTTTGTACATTTGTGTCCATTTGAAGTTGTTTTTCCTAATCGATTGCTAACGCAGCCAATCTTAATAAAGCAGATAATCAGCAGCAGCTGAACTAAAAGGTTCCTTAAAAGAGCTTTTATATGTAGAAGTTGTATGAACTGCATGGACTGGTGTATAGCACTTTTCTACTCTCAGCAAGCCTCATTCACTCAGTCACACACATTCATACAAGCCTAAGCAAACTGATTAATGCATGTGTGCATTAGCAGTTTGTAATACAGCTTCTGTGTGACTCCATGTTACTGTTTTCACCGGTGCTAGTAGCCAAAAAAACACATTAAGAAAATATCTGGTGATAAAATAAATAATGTCTTTAACTCCGTTACTATATCACTTTTTTTTTCAAATGTTTTGCTCTCTGCGGCAGGCTGTGACGATCACTGTTTGGACTGTCGAGGTCCTGGACAGTGCCAGGAATGCCAGCCTCCCTACGCCACGCTGCACGGCCAGTGTGTGCTCGAATGTGGCAGAAACTACTTCCTGGATGCATCTTCCAAAGCTTGCAAATGTAAGAATATATCTTCTTTTTATTCTGTTTCTATATGTAGTGATAGACTTTTAAAGACTGTTTCTATGAAGATCAGAGTATTAATTTAGTTTGAAAATAAATTTATAATAGACATTTAAAACATCCGAGTAAGTAAAAGTTGAAGACTTGTGTAAAAACAAAAAATAATTTGGATCTTTTCCTTCAGCTTGCTCGTCCGACTGCGTGCTCTGCGACGGGATCGGACTCTGCAGAGCTTGTCGTAATCAGACCTACCTCATGGAAGGATACTGCACTCCTGACTGTGGACATGGATACTACGCAGACCAGAAGACCAGGACCTGTCATGGTAATAACACGATGCCTATGTTGGTTTTAAAACTGCAAACAGTTATCTTTACATAGCAGAAAAGTCCTTTAATTTATTGATAGAAAGCTCCCAGACTTCAAATCTGTTAATTCTGATAAGAAGAATTGTATAAATACAGTTTAAAGACCAACAGTAGGTGATTTCTGCAGCCAAACTGGGAGGCCTGGGGGTAGGTCGAGGTCACTCTCTCTCTCAGCTGGGAGGTTTCTAAACTGAGCACAGCATCATGTATCAAGCACTGTACCAGTGGGAGCTTTTTTCTTATATGCAAATAAACTAAAGATGCCCACATAAATGATGCAAATGACCACAAGATATTACATAAAAGCAAATTTACATTGCTAACAGAAAAGTGTGTGATGCTGTGGAGGAGGTTAAGCTGCAAAATGTTAATCCCTCCAAAAATAAAGCTTATGCAGTAAAACATGTTGTCAGTTTGAAGTTGCACAGCAACAAATGTCATGATAAAGTTTCATCAGCAGCTCGTGCTTTTGTGTTGCAGTGGTGCTTTTATTGTGACACACTCGACTCAGTGAGCGGTTTTGTCATTGGCAGTCCTCAGCCACGTTGTGCAGCTCAATGCTGAACGGTGGTCAGATCGTCACTCTGACGCTAATGAGTGACCTGTCAATCACACACGGGGTGTGCTGTGTTTCAAATTCGCCAAGCAGCTTTTTAGAGAACGTGTTTTGAACTTTTTAGGCAAATTACAGCACTGATCGGTGCCGTGCTGGGCACCTGTTTTGGGTTAACAAGACCGTATCAGTGTAAAGGAATGGGGAGACAGCCATGACTGCAGTTACTGCCAGGACGTCGTGTCTTATATAAGAAAAAATTGGTATTCTCTAAAATTAAGGTTAAAAAGGTTAAATTCCTAAAGGTATGCTTCTGCTGACGGCTCAATCTCATCAGATGAGCCAGAGATGTTCATCCAACACATGAACATATTTGGCATCTGTGGCTGTTGTAAAGGGATAGGCTAAATTTAATATGATGGATGGATGGAGTGTGAAAGATTTGTGCCTATCCATTAGTTAGATCACAGGTGTCGAACTTCAGGCCTCGAGGGCCGGTGTCCTGCAGGTTTTAGACGTGTCCTTGATCCAACACAGCTGATTTAAATGGATAAATTACCTCCTCAACAAGTCCTGAAGTTCTCCAGAAACCTGGTAATGAACTAATCATTTGATTCAGGTGTGTTGACCCAGGGTGAGATCTAAAACCTGCAGGACACCGGCCCTCAAGGCCTGGAGTTCAACACCCCTGGATTAAATGGTGGACTGTACCCAACTTGATACCCCATTCTCAGCCCATCCCTCTTCCAAGCCTGACCCTACAGTTTCTGTCAACTCGATGGGGAAAAACTGAAGACATCATTAACCTTTCATACCTGAAGAAAACCCAGTTATGATTTAGTGTATTTGTGTCCAAATACCCCTCTAATACTGATCATTTAAAAGAACAGATACAGTGATTCCAGTTGAAGATAAAGCTCCCAGCAACTGTAATATAGTATTAGTAATATATCAGAACATATTAAAGGCTTCAATTGTATTTCTCACAAAGAAACTCACAACCAAGCAGACCAGTTATATATTTTCAGTAGGTAGCATAAAGACCATGTTAACATGAGTCAGGACCACAATTTTTTATTTCCATGTCAGTTTTTCCCGTTTTTTAAAATCTTTTGGGAGTTGCTATGATTGGTCTATTCACAGTTAAACCAAAGAGTCTGTGGTAATGTAACAGAAGTCTATACGTTGTCCTGGTTTTCTTTTTTACCAGTTCATAAAAAAGTATTTAAGATTGAATTAAAAAATTGGTTGTTACTGAAAGGAAAAACCTTCCATGCATTGAAAACCACAGGAGTGAGAACAGAAGTAAGATAAGAGATTATGCCATTGAAGACGTCAGATACCGATTGCATAAGCTTCCGTGTGCAGTAGGCAAGCTAAGCTACATAAATAGTGTTCTCTGTATGAGAGAGCCGGTGTCAGCTGATGTGGACTGGCACTGAGATCAGCTGATCTGCTGAGATCCCAGCAAAACTCTTGATTTAATTTGTGTTTCTCAGTCACTGACGAACGTAAATAAACTATCAATCAGACTCTATCTAGAGGTGAAAAAGGTCTATAGAACTTCATCTTATGAAGTCAAATTTGAAAACTGATAGCAAATGTAAGTCTTTGCAGGTCAAATATAAAGATACTGGAAGAACTGGAAGCTAAGACTGCTAACATCTGTCTGAAATTAGAAGGTTCCTGTTGGTGACTTTTAATTGGTCCTCCTGAATAAGACTGGGAAGGCTTTGTCTGCAGAGTTAGGATGTTAAAAGAGTTTTGTACTTTAATTTTTTTCCTCTTTTATCTTAAAACAACCCGCAGGCTGAAATGCCCGAGGCCTTGAGGAGCAGACTGTAGTTCTTAATGAAAAGTGACAAAGCATATTTATAATTAAGAAATATATTATCACGCACTTTCTGATAAATGTGTTTTCTTGTAAAATAAGGAACATTTTTAGCCTTCAGCTAATCCACACGTTAATGAAGTAAAATGGAGAAAAAATTGCTCTTTAAAAACAAAAAATTGCCAGCTCTCCTCCACCAAAAAAAAGTTCAGGAACTATTGCTTTAAATTATAGACTTCTTCTCATTTGGAAGTATAATTACATGGTCCAGAGTTTGAGATTTAAGCATGCCCGCTGGCATCATTACGGGAGGTATAATGAGATTAGGGTGGCATCTCAAAAAGAGCTGATCTTTAAAAAGTTCCCCAACAAAGTCAGCACCAATTAGAGCCAACTTCTAAAATGCCACGCCAAGGCCGAGATGTCTCACTCGTGATATGTCTGCCATTTCTCCCACACGCACTTTCTTCATTTTCAGTTTATAACCTCCTCTCAACCTCTGCGCCGACCGACTTCTATTCAGCTACGACTCCATGCCAACAGATATTTAAAGAAGGCATTAAAATGTATGAATGAAGATAATTGGATGCTTTTTTAAACCAAATTATTATTGTACACTGGTTATTAGTCCAGTTACTTTGATGGCTTTTTTCAGGAAATCATTCACAAATGTGCTTTTGATGCTGTGCATGGATTAAACTGTGCTCAGTATTTCTATTTCTGATTATTTTCCTACCTTTCCTATTAAAAAATACTCGTTTATAATCCAGTTTTGCTTTAATCTTGTTTTGGAGGATCCGTGACGATGAATTTCCCCACAGGTATAAGAAAGTTTGCTGTTTGTTGTGTATTTCACAACAAGGATCTAAAATGCACTGTAAGAGAATTTACTTGTGTTTCACCAGCTTGGCTTTAATGAGGTTATTGATTGGAGTTTTTCTTTTCTTGGTCCTCTCAGTGAACGCCCACACACCTGCCCTCCATGTCAACGGGTCCCTGCTGGTTCCCTTTGATGGTTTTGCCCCGCTGCTCCCCACCCTGCTGCAGGTGAAAGATCCAGACAGTCCGTCTGAGCAGCTGATCTTCCAGCTTGTTCAGAAGCCGAGTAACGGACGGCTGGTCCTGTTCAGAGGGGAAGAAGGCGAAGAGACGGGAGGCCAAGAAATAAAGAAGGACGACACGTTCACGTGGGCAGAGCTGAGGCACGGACGGGTCCGATTCCAATACCAGAGAGACAAAGACAGGTCAGTAAGACGGACAAAACTTTTTCTGTATTTTGCCTGGAATTATTTTTCTGAGACATGAGTTTGACACAATATTTGGACGTATTCAGTCACAGAGCTACTGTACTTATACTTGTTTAACGATAATTTATGAATTTTTGGGTGGTGGGCACTGCTTTGCCAAGGTGTGCAATCCATGTACAGCAAAAATCTTACCTAACGTAATCTAACGGACTGCTTCTACTTCTGGGTGTTTTTCATGATCATTCTGATTATATCTTTACTTTGTGCTTCGCTGTCCCAAACTGGATGATCTGATATCGTCGTGTTGGTGTTGTTCCCAG